GTTAAAATTATTCAATTTCAATATCATTCCGGCCCAAAGCCATCGGTTCAGAATTTTTGGCTAAAGCGTGGACAACAAATTTTGCACGCTTCTGCTAATTTTAATCAAATGGCTTTGCTTGTCGGCCTGCAAAATTTATAAACGCTAGTCCTAGTCCTACATCAAATAGATTTTAAACTTTTTGAGAGAAGTCGTTTTTGGGAAAGCGTTGGCGAGAGGTCACAAATTGACTCATACGCATAATTTTTCCAAATTTAATCCCATTCGATTCAGAAAGATTAGATAATTATCTATTAAACGAGTGGTTTTCACTGAATATTTAACAAATGTAGATTTGCAACGAGCAACTCTATTGAAGAACGAGGGCATTATATTGGATGGTAGGCAACAAAATCTTCTCTAAGAAGGCAGTATAAGTGCAAATAATGAATAAAATAAATTATTTTTAAACATTAAAACCATTTTTAGAAGAAACATTTCATTTTAATTATAATATAAGCATAAGAATGTGTAATATGTATCTGAAATAAATTATATTTATTTTTACTTTAAAACATTTTTTTATTTGGAAGAAACATTTTATTTTAATTATAATAATAAGTAATATATAATATATAATAATAATAATAAGAATAATATTTCAGCATTTGATATGAGACTTATAAATGTCCTTTTGTAACAGCAGAAAGCTGAAAGGGAACCATTCCTTCATTATTAAAATAATAGAAAAATTAATCACGAATTTTTAGAGCATCATCACTACTCCGATTTGATGATTATGAAGGGTTTGTAGAAACCTTCATTTCAGTAATATTTGTTTGAAAATTAGACTTGTGTAAATCGCTAGGTACATACCAGTACCATGCACTTTTTTAGATAATATGTAATTATGAAGCAATATGCATGCATATGTTATTGTTTCCGCTCTTTTCACATCCAGTGGTATCGTAGTCAATAGAATACGCCAACTGTTCGCCAAGATCTCAAAGGCATTCTCCACAACCTTCCGAGCCCTGCTCAACTTCTAGTTGAAAATCTTCTTTTCATAGGTCAGACCCCTATATGGATATGGTTTTAAAAGGTTCTCCTTCAGACAGAATGCATCATCACCAACTATTACAAAAGGTAATTTATAATTTGCATATAAAATATTACTTACAACAATAAGTCTATAATATTTCAGCAATATTTAAATATCAAATAAATAAAGTAGACTTACCCAAGTTCATTAAACAGCATACTTAATACACAACGACTCCACTCACGCTTTCTTGATCGGCTTTGTTTATGGAATGTTATCAAAGTTGTTAAATAAGCGTGCACTATAGTACGTTTACAGTTAAGAATTTGTACAGATGCACATGCACTGTTCATTTTTATCACTTTTGAGGTTATGTCGCACGCTACAATTCACTTACTCACCAACGCTCAAAAACAAGCCTCGTGTGATGCGTACGGCTAGAAAAATATCATGATTTACAGCGCCGTCATCGGCAAAAAAATCAAGCGGGAAATCCAGCGTCCGAAAACAAGCGTCGTGTGATTCGTGCTTTAATTTAAAAGCAAAACATAGAGCATTTCAGTTTTTACAGGTAAAGTTTTAAAGTCACACAAATAACATTATAATAAAACAGTTCCAGTTTTTGTATCTGGTTTTGAAGAAACTCTCCATCCTTATAGTGATACAATAGCATCCTAAAATTATAGTATATATAATTATAGTAATAAATAATGTTTGTTTGCATCGAGTATAATATGAATGCCCATTGCTTAACTCTATATTCCAATTGGCGTTTTTGAGGTAAGGTACATTAACTGTACCATCCTCACTCACAATGGGCTTATTTTTGCACAATATTGGACATATATAAATAATTTTATTAACATATATGATTATCACTTTCATCATCCACAGTGGATTTAGTCAGCGTTTTAATGGGAATATTCTCCTTTGATTGTTCTTTATTTTCAATTTTCTTCCTTCTTTTAGTTTGCAAGTCTGACGAAGTGTTGGTTTTGATGGCTCACTTACTTAACTTTGAGATGTAGCTGATTTTTAGGATGTATTTGTTGTTCTTTATTTTCAATTTGTCTCCTTTTGCTGGCTCTGCCTTTTTTGGTAAATAAAAATCCAAAAGTAAAAACATTTTTGAAGATTATATTTTAACGACATTTTTACGACTTCGATTCGACCAATTTTCGGATAATATAATAATGTTAGGTTATGGGTTATAATCGTATGAGTGAGTAGTCTAATACTAACCAAGATAAAATTCTGACGTTTGAGTCTATTGGAGGTTAGTTTTTATATGTAAAACGCTCGCTCAAACAGCTAAAACATAGCCTTTTAGCAGTTCGTGACTACGAACTCATACGATTATAGACCCGTAACCTAATTAGCGTCAAAGCGCGGATCAAAGATGTAAATGAGCAAGCAATCATTAAAATTTATGTACTAATTAAAATTTCATCTAACTATTAGTATAGGAAATACATCGTTTATTACAAGTTGTAGATTTGTTGAAATATATGTATAAGTAACTAAAATATATTTTAGTCGACTTTATTTATTATATTTTACAGTTAATTATATATCTTGTGTATGTATATACATATACTTACTACTTATATGACGTACGATATATTTATAATTAAAAATAAATGAAATGTTTCCAAAAAATAAATGGTAATGTGTTATTTGCAATTACGCGAATTATTGTTTAAAATCTTATTAATATGCAGACTGAACTTTTGTTCAAAGTTCTTTTTTTAGCATAATAACGGTAACATAATATCATCGATGACAAATCTGTACCGCCACCAAAAAAAGAAGAAAAAGCCAGAAGATGACATGGACCAAATGTTAAAAACTCAATGGGTGCAGTTTTTAATAGAATGTAATAACCCTAGTGAACAAAATCTTTTTATCCAATATATAGACGAAAGTCTAGAGTGGTTCGATGACGACACCAGGAAAATAGTAGAAAACCAATTAATGAATGTAATGTGTGAGGCCAGAAAAATATCATAGAAAAAAAAAAGGAAAAAATTGTTAACTCGGTAACTGATGAGTTAATAGACAACTTAAGCAAATTTATAAGTTTTCCGGGCCGTAGCTCAAAATTTATATAAATCTTGGTATATTTATGTTAATAAAATAGATTTATAGTTGAATTTGATTCTATTAATGTGCATTTTGTAATTATAGTTACATTACAATTATACACTTATAAAATACAATTCATAATCCATATATATATATATCCACTATCGATAGTTGTTTATTTTATTCTTTTCTTCAAGACAGGCAAGTTGGCAAGCTTATCATTGCACAATTTCTTATCTTCTTAGCCTTAAGTTGTTTGGAAAGTAAACATTTACGAATTTTTGCACTTTCATCCATTTGACCAAAAAGTCCTTTATGGACTTCATGCACTAGAAATCTGCTGACTGGTCTTTTCTTCCTCGGTTTTTGATAATTAAGTGCCAAAATTTTCTCAAGACTTTTGGATTATTAATATCAATTACCCAATAACGAGATGGTTTAAGCGTGATATTTTTCTTCAATAAGTATATTTTTACAGCAAGGACAAAAAATTTGAAGGTCCACATTTTTCACAACGGTTCAGTACTTTGTGTGAAGCAAAGTTTGTTGTGTGGAACGCTCACGCCCAAAAAGTGACGTTCGTTTTGTTGGTAAATATTTTGCTATGTCACTGCGCCTTCAGTTGAAAAATAATTTGCAAAATCTACTCTACTTCTTTAGCTATGGCAGAAGCTGGCTTTCCTTCCAATTGGTTCAAAGTTATTTAATACTGTTTCATGATTTGTTCGCCATTCACCCCCAACAATGTGGCCCATAATATCAGTGTCTATAGATCTAACCGGTGTGTACAATAAGTTCGAGGTTTTACTTGCCCTCAAAAAATGTGTAACGAACTGTTGCTAATACAATGCTCTGAGCTTAATCGATTGCAACGGCTAGCAGCCAATTGCTCTTTGACTGATATGCAGTATCGAAATGACGTCTTTTTTCCAAGCTTTTGAAAATCTTCTGCTGACATTCTCATGAAGTTTTTCTCATGCAGTAGGCTTTGTAAAATCTTTGCTCAGGAACCAATATGCGATCAAAATCATTTCCGACTTTGATCTGCGGTCACACATTGTAAGCCAGGAAATAAACACTCTAGATCGAAAATCTAACGCTTGAACAAAAACCGATTACTTTTCTTCTACGCTGAAATATAAATGCACATGATGAATAAATGTTATTAAAATATTCGTCTATAATAATAACATTCACATTCACTTTCATTGACTATGCACTCAGTGTGCGCCGCGAACGAGAGACAATATTTGCGAGCGTCGCAAACAGCATTCGCCACACAGATTCGGGCAATTACACGTTTCTAAGTTATGCGAGAATTGGCTCCCGAATTTAAATTTGAAAAGTTGACCGCACTTCACTTATTGTTAGTAAAAATGGTGGTTATGAAATGTTGCTTGTCGATTTGTCGTACAGATGTTTGGCAAATATAACCATTTGATTTTGACAAAATCTTTGTGACATTAATTCATAGACTAAATGTTTCGAAAAAACCAAAATACGTACACTTCAACTACGTTGTTAAATTATATTATTTTTAAATGTTTTTTTAAATTCATAAGAATTTCTTACTTTTTTATGCAACTTGCATTGATTGTTTTAGAATTAAGTTCCTGTAGGGGGACATTCATTTGTTAGATCATCATTGCAAAGATTGAGGTAGTCTTGTACCATACTTACAGTAGATAATAAAATAGTTTTTCTTTCTATTCAAATAATTAATGGAAATATATATTTGAAAATAAAAATTATATTTTTTTTATCAAAATCAAAATGAGATTTATTTTAAGTGCTCAATTCAATTCACAGTATGCGCCGGTTGCCGCGAGTAGCGCTAGTGTCTATCAACCGTCGCCGTAAATCTTTGTCTGTGTAGACGCGCATTCTGTTTAGGTTTCCCGCCTTTTCGATATGACACGATGCAAAGGAGAAACACTCTGTCACTTCAGTTCGTTGCTCGTGGTTCTTTCGATGCTAGTGAAGTGATACAAAAAGTTTTAATTGTAATTTTATCTGTCGACTGCTACTTTTGGTACGTTTTATATGATATCATACCATTATAAATCAATTAATAGTATTAACAGTGTTCAATAAATTGTGTTGATCTGTTATGTTTCTGTCAACAGCAATTGAGATCGTATACTTTATGAATTACGATCCATGAATTATACATTTATTAATGCGTTTATGTGAAATTTCAAAGATATTTGTTTTCAGATATTTGCCAAGATGATAAAAAATATACGCACCGAATTGTTAATGGAGTTTGGTTTCGAAGAGAACATGATGTTTTTTGAGTTGCATAGAAAGCTCCTCAGGTTTGAGTAATATTATATTACCGCATGACAATGAAAACTAAAAATATTTTAATCAGACATAAGGTAAGTGTTTATTATTATTTATTTTAATCATGTTGAATATCAAAATAATGATTCTTCTCAAGTCTATATGGCTCTTTGAAAATTTATCTGAATTAACATAGAACAATAATTATGGGGTCAATCATTGGTAAACTCATAGTCGGAGCATATTTTTTATAATCTGAAATATCTAAAAAAAATATCCTATTCCCAGTCCATGTGGTCATTATAAAATTTATCCAGATTATACTTGATTTGACATGAAGTAATAATTACGATGAGCAATAATTGACACATGGAATATTATTTTTTAAAACATATACTAATATATGTCCAATTAATTTATTATCACAATTACCTCAAGAATAAGTATTTGGATTTTTATTAGTTCCAACTTGCCTTCTTATGTTGCCAAAAAAGTCTTCCAAGGTGTTCTGATTAAAATTTTGCATACACAATTAATTAAATTAATTAATTGAATAGGAATTTTTCACAATTAGGTTCCAATTTTTAATTGTAGATTTTTTTTTTTTTTTCAATAATTATTACAACTGCTAAATTATTAGCATCAAGTAATATTGATAAATAATAACATAAATTTAAATAAATAAAAGTGCAAAGGATAAAATTTACATTTTTTTAATTGTAGATGTTTTCATAATGATTGTAATGTAATCTAAGTTTTAATAAAATGCATTGAATATAACACTTGCATTGCAGTTATCTTTGTACAGCACTTGATTGGCACATAATTATTATTAATGGCACAATGAAATATATCGCCATTTGTTGGTGAATGGGATAAATAATAGACATTATCAAAAAGACAATACCTTCCAAAGTAGTGCTCACATTTGTTTCTTGAGAATGTACGTTAAAATACTAAAGTCTAACAGCTGCACATTTTGAATATACTTAATAAACATGCCCAAATTGCTATAAAAGTCATAATAATCTGATATCTTTACAACATGCTTCGAATGCCTCTTCTTTTTGATCTAAAAATCTAAAGTTATTTCTTAATTTAGCTAATGTGGAGGGCCATACAAAAGAACTATGTCATAACTCGCCATCTATTTCAAATATGAGTTTATTCCAGACGAGATTTCGTTTTTTTATAGTTCCTCAGTATCTATTGAAGAAGCACATTTATAGTTTTGCAATTAGCAGCAAACTGATCACAAACTATTGCAATAACATTTAGACCAATATTTATTAGTTTTCACACATTATCTACAACAATACATTTAAAATCAAAGCTATTCACACCCAACATTTGAGAAATAAAATGCAACAGGTTGCACCCAGCAATGTTTTATGCCTTTAAGTCAAAAGACGAGCACTCGTATTTAATGTTCCTGGCAGATAAGCAAAATTATCAGCATATTTCAGTCTTGCTTGTAACTTCTGCCTCAATGTTTTTTTTGTGTATTTATTCTTCTTACTTTCTTTCTAAATACATTTGTTAAATGGTGTGAATCGAGGGCGAGCAACCTTTTCAACCGATGGGGCAATTTAAATTTTAAAATTTGACGGGTTGCACTATTATATATATACTAGATGACCCGGCAAAGTTTAGCCACAAGAAATATTTCTAGCAAATTATTAGTATAAAAAATAACTACCTAATTTTGAATGTATAACTACGTGGGATATAAATGAGAATGACTACTAAAATTACTATTATGAAATAGGACGGTGAATATTTGGAGTTGTATGTAGTTTTTCAGCGACTTTTATTGACTCTAATTATCGATTGTTAATCGATATATACTGTCTTTAAATAGATTTTTGAAAAGATATTGTAATTTTACATCTCATTAATACCAATTATCTGATATAGAGAATTTTGGTTGCTGACAGGATTTCTATTTAATCTAATGCTGACAGGATTTTATTTACTTTTTTATTAGTTTTATGTATTTTGTGCAGTTTACAAAGTTTACATAAATATTTCAAATTAGGACTTTCTAAAGCTCCTGGCAATAAAGTTTGTGAAAATACACTTTCACCACAATTAAAGTGTATCCCGAGACTACACATGCCATAGCTGATTCGTGAATCACTAGAAGACTAGAATTTTACATTACAATTATTTTTGCATTTGATAAGTGATAATTCAGAATTTAGTTTATGTTTATACCATGAATTACATTTTCGGTTTCATTATATAATTTAATTCAATGTTAAACATAATAAACAGTATGCATTTTTGATTGTGAAAAGTCCCCTACTATAATTATCGGTCTGTTGAGGAGAAATTATTTTATGAAAACTTGGAATTTATTGGAATCCTTCTTTGTAAGTTAATCAGCTTTTAGGAAATTGACTAAAAATCATGGTCATTTTCTCCATTCTTGATTTTGTATGATTACCAGTAAACAAGATCAACACCTCCTCCACAGGTATATCTTGTAATGAAGAGAATGTCCTCAACATTGCTGCAGCATCCTTAAGTTGAGACTAGAGAAAATGTAATATCATCAACTCGGATTTTCTCGCGAAAACAAAGTTTGTAAGTAAAAAACGAAGGAGTAGTCACTTCAAACTCAATTATAAAAGTTAAAATCATAAAAAGCATGTACCGTAATTACGTTACATGTAATTATATTCTATAATATTCTGCATATATAATATAAATAAAAAAAAAATCCAGTTTCTGAAGTCATTTTGCGATTTCGACTCACTCAACTTACAACACAACTTACTCTAACTGATAACGCATCAACATGTGAATCGCCCTTCAGGATTTTCTGTTGTATTACGACTGAAACGAATACATATATAAAAAGGCAATCGTGACTATTTGTTTGTGCATGTGTGTGTAGATTTTGCGCAATATTCTTAAATTTGTTTTCTTTTTTTAACAATGCAACGAATCCTTCTTTTCTGCCTCTCCAGAAGGTCATAGACGCTGACTAAATTACTTACATTCAATTGTAATTTATTGCATACTTCTTTAGTTTTCGAAAATATCGGCCCCGCGAGTTCTTCCTGATAGTGTGTACCCCCAACGCTAGTAATTCTTCGAAACATTGAAAATCTTTAGTGACAGCACGAATAAAATATAAAATTTGTGCTGAATCTGTTTTTCCAGTGCTTTCATTTAAAGCAATTGAAAAATAAACATCTTCATTTTGTATAATTGTATGAAGTTGCTCTGTTATACATTCGTAACTATCACGCAGTTGATGTACAATAGTTGTTTGAAAAAAACTTTACACATTTTGTACTATGTGGCAAATGGTAAAGGAAAACTAAATGGAGATCATGTTATTCTAGTAAATTTCTTCCGCACCCGTTTCTTTGTTGTACAAAAATAACCGTTTCCTTTATTTGCACTGGATTGGTCAATCTTATATTTGAACGTATGGTAGAACAGCTTTACTTTTAATATTTCAAATATCTTGAAATTGTCCAAAATGCTTGCTCCCAGCATCTGAAGAAGCCCGGCGCAATGTTTATTAAAAAGTCAATTCATTACACTACACACTGTTGTCATGCACTTACCAAAAGCGTGAATAAGAAATATAAACCTATTTGGTAAAGCAGAAATGAAGCATTGCACCGGTTTGTTTTGTTATTTTATTATAAAAGAAGAATAACTCAATGAAATAAAATATATATGTTTTTAAGTTTTACTAATCTCATCGTTTGTTTTCATAAGTTCTCAACCCTGTTCCCCTACTTGAATTCCCCTCATGAAATTTCGAAGACATACATACGCAAAAAATGCAAAATTAGTTTGTTTCATTCATATATTAGTTTATTTACATTTTTTTTGGTACTTAGCATTTCTATTTCATATGATATGCAGCAAAACAGTCTCCAAGATTTAACGCAACTCCACAAGACTTGCACATTAACTTTGTTGCTCTTCTTTTTTTTGTTCTTGGAACATATATGGCAGTTTCTTTTTTTTTGTTTATTAGTTTCTGAAATAGGTATCAGTTGGTGTTGCTTTATGTGACCGGAAAGTCTGTCAACCTGATCATGATGAGATGTATGCGATGTAGTGGCAACCTCTAAGTTTTGCTCAGAAGCATGTACATGATCTTTTATCTGCGAATTGGATACTTTCGATAAAAAGTCGTGGAATCGAGAACTTTTATGTTCTGTATTTTATATTATCCATAATTGATTTTATTTTGAACTATAAAAGTAAAGTTTAGCAAAACGTTAGGATATCGAAGATATCCTACATACTCCGGTGTTATTATTGCTAGAAATAAGTTTGTTTTGTGTTTCTCCTTCACTTAATTTATCAAAAATAAATTCTAATTTTCTTTTAATGAAAGTCATCGTTTCATCTTTGTCTTCATTTGATCCGTATCTTTTATCTTCCAGATTTTTAATAATGTTCATGAGGTCTCTTCTCAAAAGGATTCTCCGATCTTCCGTAATATTTGTGTTTCTGTTAATGTGAATCCTGTTACGTGGAGTATCAATCTCGCTTCTGTCTATTTTCATGCCACTTGACCAATTCCCAAGGTTTCTATTATAGATGTTTCTGCTGTAATTTCTGCTTAGACTATTTTTTGGCTTATTTATTCTCATAATCAGAAAGTATATCATATCTATTAATATTTGGTAGGAAAGTGGTTTTGGTAGGACTTATAATGACTGAATGTGCTGGCTGCTTTCGCATATCTATTGTTTTGGATGATCTTTTTCGTTTCTATGTAAGATGTATATTGTAGTGCCATAATTTCTTTTATTCTTTTGTTCTTCAAGTACACTTTGCAATTTTTATCATCTGCTTGATGATTATCGTGGCATAAGCAACATAAATCTATGTCACTTTTGCATGCTTCTATCTTGTGTTCTTCTGTGTATTTTTTGCATCTTTCTTTGCTTTTGCATTGAGATTTTATATGGCCAAATCTCCAGCAATTATGACATTGTATAAGTCTTTGAATAAATGGTGGAACTCGACAGCTGACTGAATTTATTTATTTATTTATTTATTTATTTATACAGCACAATTGTACAATTATAGATATCAATGGTACATA